CCCGGCCCCCCCCCCCTCCTGATGCCCCTCCCCCCCAAGCCACAGCCCCCAGTCCTGCTGGTGCCCCTCACTCCTGGCCCACAGCCCCCTGCTCTCCCCAGCCCTGCCCCTACGAGCACAGGCACCGGCCCTGCTGCACCTTGGACCGACCCCCCAACAAGCCCCCCGACCCTGCCCCACACACACACGCATGCATCCCACCCCTGGCCCCCCAAGCCTTCCAACCCCTGTCCCCCACAGCCTTACCTGTATCCAGCTGCTGGGGCTGCGCCCACCCCACTACCTGGCTGCATGCCGGCCATGTGTGTGCGCGCCCTGCCTCCAATCTTCCTACCCCTGCCCCAAGCAGCTCCTTGCTAGGGCAAGCTGGGAAGTGCTGGGAAAAACTCTGAAGCTGAGCAGAGCAAAATCCCAAGCATTTGATTATATTTTTTTAAAACCCACCCGGACGGAGATCAGAGGATCTAAAAAGAGGACATGTCTGGGAAAACCGAGATGTATGGTAACCCTAGTAACTTACTGTGCCGTTCTCATTGCCAGCAGAGGCAAAAGTGATTATGATGGAGGTGCCAGACTCCCCAGGCTCCCCGCCCAGTGCAGTATCCTGAATTTCCATCCAGCGTCAGCACAGCTTGCAGAGGCATGTACTCTCAGCAAGGAACTGAGGGGAAGGGAGCAGTCTAGGCGACCTAACGCCAGCTTCCCATGCTCCTGGCTGCGAAACACAGCAATTTCTCAGCTACTGTCACTCCTGATAACAGATGGCTCATCTGGTAGAGCATGTAGTCAGACTTTATCTATTCCTTTGCAGCTTAGTCACCCAACAAGGGTGCTCACAATGGCATTTTAGATCTTTGCTCTATACGTGTCATTCTGCACAGGACTGGTCATTTGCTGGGAGTGAGTCCTTCCTCACTGCACAAAGCTAGTTACTTATCAATGGCACACTTCCTTAGAGATTTGGCAGTTTTTTGTCCGTTTAAAAATTATTACATCTACTTACCTTTGCATCTATTTGCACAGTTGAAGTAGAGAGGAAAAATCTTTTGGATGATTATAAGAAGAAGAGATGATTCCAGCAAGCGATACAATAGCTATCTAAAGAAAACTCTGGTATGTCTCAAGTCTGCAAGGTAAAAGATCCAAACAGCTGGGAATACGAGCAGCATCCACGAGTTTTCACGCCAGGAGCCCGAGTGCCAAATTAGCAACAGGCAGTCGGGAGAGTCAGCAGCGGCAGAGAAGTCTCAAGAATAAACACAGGGGAGACATTTTCTGCCTTGGAAACAGATCACTATTCCCAGGAGGCAAAACAAAAGTATGCAGTGAGGAAATCCAGTATCCCAGGCATGTGGGATCTTGTTCTGTGCTCACAGTAGACAAACCCCCAGATAACAGCCTCTTTGCAAACAGAACAGCAGAAAATGGTGGATTGCTTCACACCTATCACCGGCACCAAAACTTCCTCCTACTGTAACCTGTGCTGCACAGTGTTTCGAGCTCTTTATTAGGAGAGAGTGCAGTCCTTCCTACCCAGGGAAAATTACCTCACTCGGTAATTTTAGCCTTCAGTTAATGCACAAAAGCAGCCATTTAGCAACCTGCTTTGTGTTTCTGCATTTCCAGAGATGCCCTGAATGATTTTAGACAAGTCCTGAGGCTCAGTTTCCTGATCTGCGGGCGGCGACTAAAGCTCTCCACGAGCAGCAGAGAGTTATCACCTTCATTTTGTACATTTGTGACTGTATCACGACTATCACAGTAGTAAAGGTTAGCACGTGCATAAGCACCTACAGAATCGAGGCTTAAATTTATTGGACCAACTTCATCCCTGCACATGCAAAGAGATATAACTTGGGTTTCTCTGCACCACGGTGTCCTGCGGCACTTCTGGGAGACTGACCTGGCATTTGGCTAGGGGAAAGTAGCTTTCATTTCTCTGGGGACCCCACTTGCACTCATACATCTGGTGTGGTGACTTTGTTCTCTCCTCTGCACTCTTTGGTGAAGCAGAGCGCTTGAATACTCTTGACACCTGGATATGGGCCTGCAAGCCTTCACTTATGTGTACAGTTCATCGAGTTCAGTGGGGCAACTCTCATGAGAAAAAGGGCAGCGGGAGTGAGAAAGGAACTATGGAGCCAGGCCTCTTTCATGCTATCTTTATAGCTCTCTGGTCTCTCTGCCTACGTCAACTGTCCAACCGTGTTCTTCCATAACATTATAAACCCCCGTCTCCAGCCCAAACTGCACCCATCAGCTGTTAGTTTAATGCTTATGACCCTTCTTCCTATTATTAGCACCTGTGGAGTCCATTGTTTCCAATTAAAGCTGGCCCAATCCTCTTAAGAAGGAATCCTATCTGCACGTCAAGATGGCTTTAGCACATTTATACAGACAGGTCACTCTTTTTCACCCCAGCTATCACAGAGAGACGGATTGGACTCCAGACCTGGTACAGAAATGTCACACAGAAATGAGGGCATGATCTTTGAGAGGGATGCGCTAGATTGTAAGCTGTCTGGTACAAGGCTCAGTGTTTTCTTCTAAGTCCAAAGAGCGCCTGACTCGAAGGACTTTGATCTTTGATCGGGGTCCTTACATGGTACCTTTATAATCAGAACAAGAGATAGCGATTACGTTCTAAGCAGTCCAAGTTCTTTCTCTCACTGGGATAGACTTTATCAGAGCATGAGGTACACACAGATTTGGGGCAAATCTGTAAGGAATTATTTCTTGCTCAAAATATATTTTTCTTTTTCTAAAAATATTTTATTTTTCTTGTGTAGGAATTCTGTTGGTTTTTTTTAAAATCAGAATCTCACATACAAACCAGCGCCTAAATCAGTTTTGCAACTGGGATGCGGATCCTGAGTCATTTGGGCATTTGGGGCAATCACATCATTACTCCAGCACCCACCGTCATAGCATGGTGTTATATGGGTACCTTTTGGTGGCTGCTGCATCTGTGTTGGGTCCTGATGTATATTTGCACCTGGCTACACATTTTTATGGAAACAGGAGCTTAGTAGCCTGATTCTTTCACACTTTTCTCTGGTTCTACCTTCCCTCCCATAAGCAGCTCAAGCTCCCTGGCAGGTTGGGGCATGCACATCTCAATGGGAGGTAAGAGCAGTGTGTCATCTGAGCCCAGAGCACATTCCTTTCATTTACTTGCAAAAGTCAGGCTGCCTCTTGCCTGTTCTCCTGCGCCCACTTGGATGTCTAGTGACTCAGCCGCAGCAGGAGGAGGAAAAAGGGGTCCCACTCAGACTAGCCTGAAGGCATTCTCTTAAGCAGTGGGACATGTACTTGAGAGCTCCCTCAGACTGAGGAAGGGTCTCCCTCTTCCTAAGTGAAACTTTTGCTATTGGGAAAAGGCAAGTGGCATCACCACCAGTGTTGATGACGGAAATGTCCCGTGTGCTGGGCTGGCCCAGGGATGTCCAAGCTTTGAGGAGTGGGACTTCAGACACTCCCCTGTGCTTTGCACTTCCTATTTCTTCACTAGAAGCCCCTATGCAGTCTACATTGGCATTTGGAGGTAGCTTGCTCTCTCATTTGACTAGACGGGGAGCCTTAGCACCTAATCCTATTAGTTAGGATATCCTCCCTAGGGGGAGATGCCTCATTTTTAGGTGTTGCAATGATAAAACGGAGGCCCGTGCTAGACCTATCTGTATGTGGTCCATGATTCCCATTGATTTCAGTGGGAATTTGGGACTGAAAATCCCATTGGATATGATTCCAGAAAACCATATAATGCATTCTTAGGTGCATGCAATACGTCCCTTTAAAACTATGGCCCTGAGGCCCTTTATAAAATGGGTCTCTAGTCCCTAAATCACTTAGGAGCTTCTGAAAATGTTGTCCATGAGCTCGTTTTCACCGAATGAGATTTTATTTTTAAGTAAAAAAAATTGCAAAAGACTGCAATTATTTTTTTAAATCAAAACTGACCCATTTTGCAGTCCTTAAAAAGGGAATATAGTTTGCTATTTCTAGTAGTTTACTTTAACCTTGTGACTATCTTATGTGCTTCAAAGGAAGCCTGGAGTATCAAAATCTACTATGTGTGTCAGGGCTGAAAAACGACTGTTACACATTCACTTAGGATAGCTTTGGGATGCCAACAATTCACAGAGTCAGGATAAAGTGGTGTGCCTGCGATGTGATAAAGGGAATTGAGGCTTTCAAATTCTTTGGCATGGAAGTATTAATATTAGGAAGCATTTTGATCCTGCCTGAAGTCTGCTCCTGACTGAGGCGCAGCTTTGGAACATCTGAAGGTCTCTGCGATGCACACGTGGGAACTCTTAATGATCTTAGTTATTTTTATCCGAGTCTGATACCATGTTGCACTGATTTAACTAAGCAAACTCATTCCAGGATCCTCTAGCGAGGCAATGAAATCAGAAGGGTGAGCAGAACCAGCAGGAAGGAAGGAAGAGAAAAACGAAGAGAAGGATTCAAGCAAAAGGAGCAAAAGGTAGTTAAAATAACATTCAAAGCAAAGGCGGAAAAGAGTAACCCAAGAAGAAACAGAAGTAAGAGAACGTAGCTGAGGGGGGAAAAAGGAACAATACAAGCAGCAGGACTTTTCTGCATTTTTCTCTCTTTCCTTTTTTTTATCCCTTCTTTCTTTCTTGGGGTTTTGTGAATCAACATGGGACAAAGGTTTACAAATGAGGAAGGGGACCAGGAAGATATCGATGTGGCCGAGTTGCAGGAGTGGTATAAAAAGTTTGTGGTGGAATGTCCCAGTGGGACGCTCTTCATGCACGAATTCAAACGCTTTTTTGGAGCGCAGTGGTACGCTCTTCATGCACGAATTCAAACGCTTTTTTGGAGTCCAGAATAACAAGGAAGCTGCGGATTATATTGAGAATATGTTCAGAGCCTTTGATAAAAATGGGGTAAGTGTCCTAAATCAAGAGTAGTGATGCAGGTCAGGTAGATCCATGACCAGCCTTGTTTTCCTTCTGAATTATGGCAATTGTCTTGGTTCACTGTAACACATTATTGTTTTTTAATGAAACTAAGGCCAAGTCAGTGATAGATTTGCCAAGGACGAAGCATGGTAGCCCCATAAGGACCTTCAGTGCCTCCCATACCTAACTGAAATTGCCCCATTTCGTTCTGAGAGCTGTATCGGAAACCTCAGAACCAGCGAAGGTCAAAACATTCTCTTACACATGTCCGAGTTTGGATTGAGATGCCTTGACAGTTTTGCCCAAACTTCCTCAAACAGTAGAGCCAGAAGAAGAGATAAACTCTGAGAAGTTATTTTCCTCTATGAGAAGTTATTTTCCCCTCATGGTACAGAAGGACGTATAGTGAATGAAGGTGGAACAAGTGTCCTACATTATTTCTGCACATTAAAATGTCCAAACTGCTGCCTCTCTTTTTGAGGAACTAGTGCTTGGAGTTGTTATATAGCAAGTAAAGTAACTTTTCTTAGGCTGCACCCAAAGTGCACCAAAGTCAGTGGAAAGAGGCATTTGGACCAGGTCTTGTAAGAGATCCTCACAGTTAGTATTTAATATATAACTAACTCAAAGCATGTGTGGACAAAATGCAGTCCTCTGCTCTCAGTCGCGCTCAAGCACTGCCCAAATTTGCTGTTTGGGGACTAATCCAGTGTTGAGATTATCGTTACCGGTTCAGATTCAAAGCCTCTCACTCATTCTAAATAGTTCTTAGCACTGAAAGTAGCCCCACTGATCTCACCCCTCATTTGACTTGCAAAGCACGGTGGCAAAATGATGCTTATTTTATTATTTATCTGTTCTCCAGCAGCAATGTGCAAGACACAAACAGAGCATCTCTGCCCTGAGGAGCTTCTAGATACTTGCTCTGTTACTGCAAGGGATTTTTATTGCCATGGCAATATGTGGCCCTTGGTGATGTCCGCTGTAATTAGGTGTCACCCCTGATGTTCTAATATCGCTATTCATAATAAGCCGATAAAGTTTTTTTTGTTTATAGGTGCATAATGGTCAGGGGACAGTATAGGAATCTACGCTGGGAAGACCAACCTGTCTTGTTAACTGCAGTTATGTTACAGACAGGAAAAACATTTTTACGGTGCTCCACATGCCAGTAATGATGGACAGGAGGAAGTTAAGCAATATTTGATTTGAAAGGCTCCAGAAGTGAGAGGTGGTTTGAATAATAAAAACATTATGCGCTTGACTGGCCATTGCCTGTCATCCATTGCAGAGGTCCAAAGTGGGTCTAAAATGCTCCTGTTCCCACTCGGTATCATATTCTGCCCACAACGTACTCCCTTTTTGCTGGTGAAATGACAACCAGTACTAGATCAGAGGTTTGCAGACTTCTTGTTGCATACTCCCTTCCAGATTTACCAGCTGCCTGTCTACCAACGTGCATTTTATATTTTAAGTCTTAGGTGCCAATTAGTATTATAACGAAAATTAAATTTGCCATTACACAATTTCTCCTACGTACCCCCGCCCCGAAGATGTCTTGCGTACCCCCAGGGGTACGCATACCACAGCTTGGGAACCCCTGCACTAGATGACACAAGGTCTCTACGTCTAATCTGTTGCACCAAATGTTAACGTTCTCCAGCGTTTTAGGCAGGCAGGCAGGCAGGCAGACCAAAAAGACAGACAGACACACAGGACTCTCCAAGAACTCCAAGGAAGTTTTGCACTGAAACGTAGTGTCAGTTCTGTGTCCACCTCTCTCAGGCTCATTTGAGGATCCCAGCCATAGTAGTTTATGATGATGACCATACGTATCAGTCAGTGGGCACATGAAGCACCCTCCTGCCCCAACTAGCCCGGGCAGTGTCTACACATGCGCTGCTGTGGAGATTTTTACTCTGCAGCAGAATAGTACTTGTATTTAGTAAAAGTACTATTCTGCTACAGAGTAAATTAGTTCACCTCAGCCTACTAGAGGGCACGTATAGATGCATGCGTGACATTTACTGCACAGTGAATTAATCTGCTGCACAGCAAACATCTCATGTAGATGCACCCGCTGTGAAATAAAGGGATGCTCAACATGGGCCTTGCATTAGACACAGAGGTCCCAGTCCTACTTCCACTGAAATCTTCCTGCTGTGGTTCCAGTGTCAGGAGGACCAGGCTCAGAGAAAAGGGTAACAGAAGAAAACCCAGAGAATGGAGATTTTGGCCAATCCAATTGGGCTGAGAAACAAGTTCCTACAAACCCCTACTAGCTACAGCTAGCTACAACTAGAGCCACGTGGAGGAAAGGGGACCCTGCAGAATCCCACTGATGTCAGTAGTCTGGCCATCTGTGTGAGCCAAAAGGTGTGTTTGTCACTGGGGGTGACTTTAGTTAAGTTTTCTATAGGTGTCTGTTTGGGCGCTAGCAGTGGACTGATGCTGCATGGGTGCACACACTAGCTGCAGCGAGGTAAAAGGGGCAGGGATTTCCTGTGCATCAGCTGTGTCGAGGGAACTGCCTCTGTGCGCATTCTTACCCCACGCTAGATGAAAGCTGAAGCCCTCAGTGGGAGAACAAAGTACCTACTTGGTGTGCACATGTTCTGAATTTGCCTAACTCGACTGAAAAACACACCTATTTTGCAGGGACCATGTGGCTTAAACACATACTTAGATTTAAGTTCATTAAATTAAGTTGCTTGAGTTGTCTGGCACCAAGGCACATGCTAAATTAGACAGTTGCATTTCTCTGGTTTAATGTTTTCTAGGGTTATTAGGAACAAGGGTGTTCAAAATTCTTAAACCATGTTTAGGGGTTTAGGTTGTAGCCGTGTTGGTCTAAGGACATAGGCAGACAAGAAGAGCACACACCAAATGCTGAAACTTCCTTAGCCTGACGAAGGGTTTTTGAACCCCTTTTGAAAGCTTGCTTAACAACTATTCTCCACCTATTTGGGTTGGTCTAATAAAATATATCAGATTCACCCAAGGAACCTTGTAAATCATGTTTATGCATTTATTGAGATGTTACACTGAGTTAACAGCATGGTTTATTCCTTATTATTACAAAAATTGTATTACATGTCCTTCTGCACAGAACCCTGTCCTAACTTGCCCAAACAGTAGTTTTTGAAGCTCAAACTGGGGCAAATCTAAAGACACGGGAGGAGTGGAGGACCGGTTCCCTGAAATCCAGGCTCTGTAAGCATCTCAAGCATAACATCAAAAGTCACTAAACACGTCTGGAAATGGAGGCCAGAACCTGTAATTTGACAGTGTCTCTCTTTATTGTGATATTTCTGTAGGAGAATACTTTTCCCCCCAATTTGCCTGTGATTATTTCCATGGGAGGAGACCCTGGCATGCATTAGAGCTGCTTTAGGTCCCCCTGGTGGAAGCTGGCAAGCATAAGTCTTTGCCAAGTTGAGTGCTGCAGGGGTGTAGTTAGCCCCGTTGGTCTGAACTCGAGCGGAAGCCTGGGCAGATGCAAGTACAGCAAAGCTTGCACCTCCGAAGGAACCAAGGTCCCCACTTGCCAATGCAAGTCCCAGCAAGTCCATGTGAGTACAACAAGGTGCAATGAGGAGCTTGTGTGCTGTCACTTTTAAGATCAGCATCATGAATGTCAGTTCTGCAGTGGAAGCATATATATAGTTCCTATTAATACTAGCAGATCAGCATGGCTATGAAAGGGATGTCAAAGCAGATACCTTTAATAACCATGTAGTACCAGTGGGTACATCTACACATGCACTTTACTGCGCATTAAGGTGTCACGTAAAAGCCTATGTGATTGTGCTGATGTGCAGCAAAATAGGCTACTGCACATTAAGCATCACTTTAAAACCATGCATATTCATTACGGCACATTAAGATCACCCGATGCACATTTTTTTAGTACCTCACATTGAAGGTACTAAATGTAATGTACACTACAAAAAATGCCTTAATGCACATGTAGACACACCCAGTATTCCCCATATATTGAACACGAGTGTAAGAGAATGTTGCTGCCATTGTAGTGTGCAAAAGCATAGAAAACAGAACACACACAGCACGCCAGACCGTTTAGTCTTCCCACCCAAACTGTTCCAGGGATGGGTATTAACAAGCGATTTCCACTTCTAGCATTTCAGAAATAAAGATTATGGTGCCCTGGCTGAGCCTTCCTTTCCCCATCTCTATCCTGGTCCCTGGTCATCAGCTAACAAGCCTGTACAACTAGCATTATATAGTAGGGTTTCCCTGTGTGGGAACTGTTGCAGGGAGGAAACAGTCCACAAATGGGAATACAGATCACTGACATTTCTCTCCAGACCTTTACATTGGATTTCCACATGGCAAGGATATCACATCTTCACTAAACCAGTGGGCCACCCCATTAATTGTTTTGTAGACTAGATCAGGGTTCATCTGGACATGGTTAACATTTTCCCCATGGCTGGAAATTCAGCCTGCTCCATGGTGATAGTTTCCAAACAACAGAGTAACAGAGGATGACATCCAGTTCAAGGGCCAATAAATGGCCTATGTGGCATCTCAATCCTACTTATGCTCAGAGTAAGGCTTAAATAGGAGCCAGGCTATGAGGAGGGATTTTTCTCCTTATGGAAATAAATAGAAAACCGTGTATTTTTTTCCTTGTATTTTTCCTTTAAACACAGTTACATGAGAGGTGAAAAAACCCACCAAATACCAGACACGTTCATAAAATGGAAGAATAGATTCAACAGCAGGCCCCGCATTGCACAATAAACGAATAGTCTTGAGAGCACCTCCTTTATAAATGAAAGGAAGCATATAAATAACCCCATCAGCAAGAGTAATGTGGTAGCAGCTTTGTCATCCTGGTTTTACACCCTTCCATTGGGTAGGACCAACCCAGGCTCCACGTGGTTGTCTCTCTGTTTCTGTAGGATAACACCATTGATTTTCTGGAGTACGTGGCCGCGTTGAATCTTGTCCTACGAGGAAAGCTGGAACACAAGCTGAGGTGGACGTTCAAAATGTACGACAAGGATGGGAATGGCTGCATAGACAAACCCGAGCTCCTAGAAATAGTCGATGTACGTAAGATTTACCTCTTTGATAGTAGTGTTTCAAAGACCCTTCTAAGACCTGGGAATGGTATGTGATGCACTGCGGACACGCTTATCAAGGACAGACTCTGTCTCAAAGAAGTAACAGTCGGAGTAGACGACATAGCGTGGAAGAAAAGATTATCATCCCCTGTTTCACAGGGAATAGGAGCCCCGGGACATAAAATGCCCTAGACAACACTCATTACTAGACAGGGGAAATTAGGGTAAGCACCTTGAAATCCTGACCCGCTGTTCAGTTTGACTGCGTCCATATTATTTACTGTTAGTAAGTGTTTGCACAAGTGAATTTTGTTCCTGCAAATGCCTAGAGAAAAGCTATTTTCTCTATGCTGATCAGCACTTACAGGTGAGGCAGGTTAGTTTGGCATGAACAGGAATACCCCTTCAGCATTGTGCCTTCTCCTCCTATTTCTTTGCTTTCGGTTATGCAGTCAGCACCAGAAACAATTTGATGTAATGTAAGTGACCAAGCCATAGGATCATAGGAAAGCAGGGCTGGAAGGGACCTCACAAGGTCCTCTAGTCCAGCCCCCTGCTCAAAGCGAAATATCATGAATAACAAAGAATGAATAGTCAAAGTCCACAGCTCATGGAAACTCAGTATTTGAAATATTATGGAGCATATTATCAGTAAAACACGTATGAAAAAGGAATATGGCCAAGTCTACATAGCAGGGGTACACAGTACGGGTATTAAGCCAGGCAACATCAGCTCTCCTTTGAAGGGGTTAAGGTTACACCTGTCTGGTCTAGCTATCGGATGCTCATCACTGTTGTATTTGAGCCCCTGATTCTCTTCTGGGAATGTCTACACGATCTCTCTCCAGCTGTGGAGCTACTTAGTCCTTGCAGCAGGCCTGGTCGTTAGCCAAAAACTTTGCCACTAAAACCAGCTGATCCTTCTTGCTGAGTGAGTCACGAGCAGCGGGTATGACAAAAAGGCCGGGCAACTCGGGGAGGGCAGGGAGTCCTGGGCAGGTTCGGTCTGAGTTTTAAGGTCGGCAAGAAATCAGGCAAGGCTCCATCATGTCCTTGCTACCTGCCTAGGAAGGTGCCAGACAAAACCCTTCAGCCTGATGAGCAAAACCAGTATAAAGAGGTCTTTGTCCCAAGAGTGGCTGGGGCACAGTGATAGCATTAGCAAGATACGTTTATGGAGGGGAAGCAGAGAAGATCTGTTTTGCTCTGGAGACAGAAAATAGAGCAGTGGCTCGGGGCGGCACGGTGCTTTTGATTACACCGCTCCTCAGCTGAGTAACTCCACAGATGCTAGGTTGGCCAGACACTTTATCACACTAATGAATCCCCTCTTAACCTGAGATTATATTAGGGGCCTGTCTAGTACTGCTCCTCATGATCTGTTTGGACAAATGTTGATGCTCAAATGCAAGGTCATTATCATTATTGAGCTTTTCTACAAGAGCTGCTGACTGAAATGCTTCTGTGGCATTTGTATGCAAAGGGTCTGTTCCCACCCAGGCTTAATTCGGTAGCAAAAGCTCCTACTGACTTCCACAGGAGTAGGATTGGGATCAGCACAGCAATCAGTGTAGAGGACTTTGCTGTTATTATTATTGCTATTATTGCTATCGCTATGGGTATCATTATTCTTACCTTGGTTGTTTGTTAAATCTTAAATGTTATATTCTTAAATGACAACAGCAGTAATAATAATAAGCGTGATTACCTATTGTCCCACACTTTGTGTCATCGCTTCCACCTGGCATAAGCAGATGTAACATGTACTTTTCCCATGTGGTGACACTTTATGTCCATCGTGCACTCACTTTTGTCCGATCAAAACGATGGCAAGGCCCCTACATCCAATAAGTTGCACTATATGTTAATCCTATCCATTTTTAGATAGATAGATCTGCCTCCCCCAGATCTGTCACTGACAAGTGTGGTCCTGAGCAAATGATTTTAACTTCTCAGCATGAGTTTTCCCATCTGTAACATGTGGGAAATAATACGTACATAGTCTGGGAGGAAGCATGGAGTTTAATTAAGGTGTGTAACAGACACAGGCAGGCAGCAAATAACATTAGCAACCCCTTATATTTTTATCTCTCCCTCCCTCTCAATGGATTCCACACTGAAATGTAAAACAAGTATGAACTCTGTGAGAAGAAATGGGACGTTTCCCTCCTTCTCATTTGGGTTCATCAGAGACCCATCTGGGCGCGCCTAGTGCTGGACACCTTCATCGAGCTAGTCAAGTTAGCAGCCTTTACAAGAGGCCTCTACATCTCGAGTGCTGTGTGAATCATTGTGCCTTTGTCTGCTAGCATGTTTCTATTCATAAGCTTCTTTCCTTCCAGTCTATTTATAGGCTGAAGAAAGTGTGCCGGGCCGAGACGGAGGAAAGGACTCCGCTGCTCACCCCAGAGGAGGTTGTGGAAAGGATATTCCAGTTAGTGGATGAGAACGGGGATGGTAAGAAGTCTATGGTTAAATTGGATTCCTGCTTTACGCAAACACACCTCAGCTGGCCAAGCACATTTTAACCAGAGTTTATTGATAATCAGTTCAGAGGAGGAGGGTCACCTTACTTGTATTAGTCTGACTGGGCCACGTTCTGCTTTCTTACATTAGGACAAATCTGAAGCCACTCCATCAAAGCCAACAATTGGTGGAGTGGAGGAGAACGGTCCCCATCATCTTAACATAATAGGATTTTAAAGTGGAAAATATATTCCATTTTATTCTATTCCGTGTTGCTTTTGAAACTGCACCCATCCCAGTCTCTGAGATCATCGGGTAGCCCAAAAGGCTGTTGTCCTGAAACCCTTGAATAGGCCTTACTCGAGCCTCGCATTAGCAAGAGTTTGCAGAATAAGCCTCACACGTCTCCTGCTATAGGAGGAGTTATATATCAAATGAACGTGCCACTTGATCTTAGTCAAAAGCCCCACCCCTGTGAAGGGTAGGTCTGAACATTGTTCTGGCTGTTAGGCTTCATCTGCAAAGGGAAGTTGCCCAGTATGTAGATATTCTGGAATAACTCCTCATTTGGACACTCTTGCAAAACAAAAGCAACTTCATTTGAGAATAATTCACAGATTTTGCAAGCTACCCCTTACAAAGAGGGTAGTTTCAGGCCCACCATGTTAAGGATCTCAAGCCCAGCCCCTAATAACGTACAAAGGACTGGTGCTAAACCGCTGGCCTCATTGTTAAGTTTTCATTTAATGGACAGAATATTATTTTTACTTGCTTTTCTCTTCTTTTTCATGTCCCTAAAACTTCCTGCTGCACTTTCCCTGCCTGTCTCTTTCTTCCTCATTTCTTCTACAGGGCAATTGTCCCTTGATGAATTCATTGATGGGGCACGGAAAGATAAGTGGGTGATGAAGATGTTACAAATGGATGTAAACCCTGGAGAATGGATCTCAGAGCAAAGGAGGAAAAGTGCTTTGTTTTAATAGAAGCCAGTTTCTGGTGTGGCTGGAAAGGTCTGATGCTGGCCACACTGATGGTTGTGTCACTTTGAGGATGTCATCACCCGCTAGCGGCAACTTTTCCTTCGTGACATGATCTCAGCATCCAAATGAAAACTCTTGAGTAGCTCAAGAAGCCATATTTTTGTATCTAAAACCTGGGCACTGAATGCATGGAGGACTGCTGGAGACTACTGTCGACAACCAATAGGTCCCTTTGTGTATATTTCCTCCTGGTTCTTCGGCTCACGTTTCTGATTGCACTTTAAAAGGAACTAACTTCTGATAGGATCCGGCAAGGGATAGTACTCTGAGCAGGGCTTGCTAGTCAGACAGCACAGCAGGACTGGCAGGATGCTTCCCTGCTGCAGTGGAATTGCTTTCCTTGTAGCTCAGTGTGCAATGCCTGCAGAGAGATGAACATATCAAACCCCAAAAAGCAAAAAACAGGACATTGATAGCAGACTGAGCTTCCTCAGGAGGTGTATTATAGACCCCTAGCATGCGTGTTTGAGTTATTTAACAAATTATGCCAAGTATAACTGCTGATAATCCAGCATCATTGGGTATCAGTATATCCTAATCCAAAATAAAAGTTATGTTACAGCTAGTGATACAATACTTTCTCTACCGGAAGCCAAAGCTGTATAAACAGTACAAGAAAATATATCATAAGCAAGAAGTGTATATATTGGCTGGGCAGATGGAGTACACCTTCTTTTCATCTCTCATTTCTTTAGGCCCAACTCTGCTCCCAATTTCTAATCTAGCCACTGATCCAGGGCTGATTTCTTCACGCACTGGTTCTAGTCTGAAAACACTGAATTTGTAGAAGTTTCACCGCCACGAACGGCAGTTGGTCTCTGGGAAAGAAGTGGATGAGAGATCAGCATTATACTTGGCAATTATTTACCTTTGTGAGAGCACCAGCACCAGCTTAGCATCATAACTCATAGAATGACACACGTGCAGTCTGTAAGTAGTCTACGAAATCAAGATAGTGAGTTTATGTCACAGGTTTTAAATTGGCTTTGCAGCCTGAATGACTTATAGTCAGAGCAAAATCATTTGCAAGTAGTCTGTAAACTGAATGTTTGTAAAAAAAATGCAGCTAGCTCTGATGGACTAGATTAGACTGCTATTTTTTTCCCCTACAGGCAAGTAAGTCAAGCCACTTTCACAGGGATATTTGCAATCACTTTTTATTTTTGTGGCCTTTTACTGCAATGAGCTTGCTACTCATTTACCCAATGGTTTGCTGTCCTGTGGGTTGACTGGGCTTTTTTTAATTCAGAGAAATGGGGACATAAACAGAATAGGACGCATTCTGTGCTGCAGTTCAACTCTATGCACTTTTTGATTAAACAGATGTTGTGTCAAACCAGCTGTCAGGTGCTGTGCAGTAGCAGCTCAGCACCAAGTCCCCCAGTAGCTGGCTGAAGTGCGATTGTTTGTCCATACCCTTGTGCAGTGGGTGCGTCATTCCCGTTTTCGAGGTTTATCAGTTCCAGAGATACTCCCCCATGCAGGGGGAAATACTGGGAACACCTCTAGAACTGGAACAAACTTGTTAAGTGTGGATAATTCCAGACTGTGGATTAGTTGTAAACAGTTTAGAAATCCTGGGCCAGACTTTCAGCTAGCTGAAAAGGCGCAACTCAAATCCCCGCAGTGATTTGTGTCAGCTGAGGATCAGGTTCATAAATAGGATAAGCTGCTATGAGCTGAATTCAGAAAGCGGTGCAAGTTAGACTGCAGCAATTTAAACAATCTTCCACTGATTCAGTTCCACACACACACACACACACACACACACACAGAGCTTGATTCTGCACTCCCTTACACCCTGCATGCATGGGCATTTACACAGGCCAGATTTTAACTTGGCATTGGTTTTGTACCAGTGTAACAACTGGGTTTATCTGCATAGGGTAGTTACTGTGTGTAAATTTACAGTGCGCTAGTGACTCTGCCCAGCTCTCCCATGGGCCATTCTTAGGGCATGCTAAGAGTGCCTTTGTGCGAGGTGCCTGACTCCCCTTTGAGAGTGGAGTAAGCTACCTTGCACTTAGCGTGTGCAAGGAGTGTCCACACAGGGAGTTTGCGCAGAGCAGCAAGCGTGCTGTAAATTCACCCCCAGCTGCCTGCCCCATGTAGGTGGAGTGACTCCTGAATGACACTGGGCCAGGTAAGGACTTTATCCAAGGCTCATTCAAGTCAACACTAGTTTACACTTACTGATGAAATATCCAGCCTTTTCCAAATAGCAGAGGAACAGCTTCTTATTAGGAACATGAGGGTTTCAAAAGCTCCCGTCTCCACGCTCCAATTCAACACCAATTGATTTTCACTTCTCCACTCTGTTTTTCATTTTCTGTCAGGTTTACACATGCCGATATTTAAGTTCTTCTTAAGCTTCCTTAGGCCACTCGCCCTGTCAGGTGTACATGAGGAGAAATGGTTAAGTACCTCCAGCACAGATAACCACACGCTGGGGGTTTCTTACAGCGGGCACCCTCGTAGAATCAACATTCAGATTTTGTACCACTTGGATTTAATAAAGACTATTTATTTAATAAGACCGTATGGTTTCTTTCTGTTTGGTTTCTTTCCCCTTTGGATGGGAGTAGTGTAAGGCAGGGGAAAATAAACGAGCGAGGTATCGCAACCCAGAGAGATCTCGTTGCGTTTGGAAGACTAGACAAGGGAAGCGGTGGGAGCCACGTTTTATAGCTAGACTGCACAAGACTGAAAAAGTGCATGGCAGAGGGTGATGCTCCTACTGCTGGAAGATAGGGCAGGTAAACTAACAGGTCCCTTCCCTCCCTAACTTCTGTGGCTCGGTGGGTAGCAGGAGACTCATGAGATAAGTACCAGTCTACAATTGTGATCTGCTACTCACCAAGCCAACAGCAAATGAGATGGCAGACCACTGAGGGTTACTGGGAACCAAACCAGTAACCCTCAGTGTCAAACACAAGTCTGCAGTTTGGCTTCAGAGCGTCAGCCTCTAGAACCAGGACTGTGATACACTCACGTGCTCTGCATCAGGAGCCCAGCACACCCAGACAGGCAGGGCGATGCCAGCTGGTCTGCAGCAGATGACTTGCAGGCAAAGTCAGCTGTGCACACCTCCCCCTGCTTCAGCCAGTGGTGGGGGGTACTCCTTTGACTTGCCCCGAGGCAAGGCAGCCAGCATTTTTCTTGGCCAAAAATAAGAGCAGCCTGTCTGAGGTGCGGCGGCCAACCTGTGAACTGCCGAACAGGTGTAATGGACTGTAATGTTGAATGTCATGTACTGTAATGTAACATGAACTGAAGCTCCCCAAAGCCTCCAAGGGACTGGAGGAATGAACTGTAGTGTGGACTGCAATTCCCAGAAGGCGGCAGGGGATGGAGGAAGCAGAAAAGCAGAAACAGCACAGGGTGCTGCAGCTCTGACGAGACTCGGAAGGAGAGGCAGAGGCAGGACTGGGAGCTGCAGCAGTGGGGAGCCCTGGCAGATGGCTATTAAATGTTTTTGGGACCAGTGGCTAGTTGGGAGCCGTCCAGAGCTGTGGAAGGGTTGAAGGTTTCTTAAGTGTTTATGCCACTGTATTAGTGTCCCCTACATGTTACTTGTTCTTGGGTGATTTCACCACAGCGTCGGTGTTTCTTACCTGTTATCTGCATCCGTAGGGTCTGCACCTTAATGTTCATGGTTATTCACCTGTGCCTGTCCCTTCTCCCTAACCCGCTGGCTTATGACCCTAATCCCTAGCATCCCTTATATAAAAGTGGGAACTTCCCTTCCCATTTCCCCGTGCCAGGTCCTGGGGTTGCGAGGTTTGGTACACAGGGACGTAAGCAAAATATTCCCTGGCGACAGCAGGATTGCTCTCCAGTGACCAGTGCCTGGCTCCAAAATTGAGGTGTGATTGCATCTTGTGCGCTAGTTCAGTGAGCTCTGTGGACTTCCCCAAGTAGATTTGGCCAGCAACATTTAAAAATCTTAAAGTTTTTCTTTTTTTTTAAGTAATGTCCTTTTAACCTCACTCTTATGCTAGCGAAATGCATTTTAAAGGAGAAAGGAGAGATGTGGGTGGCCTGTGTTTGGCGGGTTTCCACAAACAGAAGTCACTGGGTAGATGGGCAGCTGTAACTGCTTCTCGCAGGGCATCGCTCTTCATGCATCTTCCAGTGTGAGGCCTTGGCGAAGAAGGGCTGCTCAGGGGAAGAAGAAAGAGAGCTGCTTAGATCTTTTATGGTATTTAGACACTGGCTGGCAGGGGAGAACAGTCCCTACAAGTAAATTCTGGCTAAAGCAAGAAGTAATGGGCCTGATTTTCCACTCCGTGACACCAGTTTTAAAGTGGATGCAGTGGAGTGAAGACTCCACCCTGATCTCTTGATCTCCTTCTCCCCTCAAAGGTGCTGCCATCTCTTGTCAAAAAATCATCCTGGAGAGACCCTCAGTGCTAAATCACTTCTCCAGTTCCACTTACCCCCCCCATGTCAGCTGTTGATGTCCAATACTTCACATAATCCATTTTCTAGCCTTATGGCCTGACTCAGATTGGATTTGCCTGATCCGATTTTTCGCTGACCTAAATTGAGGCGCTGGGAGGTGGGTATCAAGGCTTGGCAATGACAGACACTAACTGATTCCCTGAGCTGACCACCTTCTTCTCTGATGCCTGATTCCCCTCAAATTAGACAAGACTGAAGATGGAATAAGGTGAGAGAGTCAAAAAGAGTCAAAAAGTTCATGTGAATGAGGCATGGGGGAGAGGTGGCAGAGAACAGTAGCCCAGAAGAGTCATTTATGGGAGCATCACTGAGTGCTATATGGCTTGTACAAGGCTGCTGAGCCCAGACTAAACTCCTGGTCCAGGTCAGACGCAGACCTGCACCTTGGAGCTTCGTCTGGTGCAAACCATCAGCAGAAGTCACTGGAGATGAGGAAAAAGCTGCCTCCATTTGCAGAGCACGGCACATCTTAGCAGCGATGAGCGGGCTTTAAGAAGCATCAACCTGCATTAGCGACAGCACGGCAGGGGATGCATAAAGCCATCCCTGCTGACTGGCAGCTGTAGGGCCTGAAAAAG